GCTACAGCCCCAGCTCAAGACGTATTTTAAAAGGTTAAAATACTGTAGACTTTAACCATAACATAACATCAGTAACCAACAGATATCTGTATGATTACTAAATATCTCAGACAAAACAACTCACGGGTCAAAAATACCACAAGTAAAATTTTTTAAATATGCTAAAGTGAATGGCAACAAAAAGACAACATATCAAAGTTGTCAATTTTGTAAGTAATAAACATTAGAGGAAAGTTTAGCCAAATTACACTAGGAAAAAATAAAATAATGATCTACTTTTTTCTTCTAGCATTTTGGAAAAAGTAGTGAGTAAACCCCCAAATAAGGAAAACATATACAATAAACTTGAGCTTGGAAATCATTTTCTGATCATGACAATTAATAGAGAAAAATCTAAAAAAACAGAAATGGAGTCTTTGAAGAGACTAATAAAATTGATAAATCTTTAGCAAAACTGATAAAGAAAATGGAAGAAAATTCAAATCACAAGTATCACAATTTTTAAAAGAATATTACCACAGATCCTATTAAAATAAGAAAAATTAATAATAATATGCCAATAAATTTGAAAATTTAGACAAAGGGTCAAATTCTCTTTAAGACACAAACCACCAAAACTAAGCCAGGAGGAAACAGAAAATCCTAATAATACTGTGTCTAACAAACAAATTTAATTTCAAATCAAAAACCTTTCCACACGGAAAACTCCAGACCCAGACTGGTTTGCTGGCAAATTCTACTCACTGTTTAGATTAAAAATGACAGCATCTTACACACTTACCTCCAGCAAATAGAGGGAACACTTCTCAATCCATTCCTTGAAAACAAGGTAGCCTTGATAGCAAAATCAAAGAAATTCCTAAGAAAGTAAACTACAGACTAATACTTCTCACAAATGTTCATGGAAACCTCTCTTAAAAACATGAATGAGCCAAATCTGTGCACCAAGAATCGTGACCCAGTGGATGGCAGGCAGAAGGGCAAAGTTATTGTCATATGTGACCCATCCCTGCGGCCAAGCCCATGTTGCCCCGTTGCTCCCAGGGTCTCCTGTCACCTCCTTTCCTCGTCATTTCACAAAGATTTGTTGAAGAACTACAGTGGCCTGGCAGGTATGAGGCAGGAGATGCACAAGCTGAAAAAGACACCCTGTCTTTCCTTTAGGTCCCTCATCACACAGTCTAAACACATGACACACAAGAAAATGAACACAAGAAGAGAAAAGTGGCCAGGAAAGGTGGCTCATGCCTGTAATCCTAGAACCCTAGGAGGATGAGGCAGGAGGAGTGCAAATTTTAGTATTGCCCAGGCAAGTTAGTGAGATCTTGTCTCAAAATCAAAAAATAGCAAAGGGCTGAGGATACAGCTCAGTGGAAAGGCCCTGGATTCATTCTCCAGTTCTGGAGAGGTGTGGCGACAAAGTGCTTCGGGAGTACAGAGAAGTGGGGGATTCATTGCCTGCAAGGGAGGCTATGGAGAGGAAGAGCTGCCTTGGACCCCAAAAGATGAGTGGGTTCAGGGAGCCCCGCCATTGTCCATTGAATCTACGTGCCATCAACCACATGTAGTAGATACACATTTTGGTTTTTAAGGGGGAGAGGTGGGCTGACAAAAGTGCCCACCACACCTCTTCTGAAGCACTCTCTGAGAGGGCCCCAGTGAATCAGTGCCCACCACTCAGTCTATAGATGACACCCTCAGGACCTGAGTCCACCTGAGGTGTTGTGCTGCACTTGCCAGGGATGGGGACAGTGCACACAGGGACAGCATGGCAAAGGCACAGAGGGATGGTGTGGAGGGAGGTGGGAGGAGCAAAGGTATGGCGGGGGGAGGGCCAGGGAGAGAAGAGACATGAGGAGGAAAGAGGATGGTGACCTGCAGACTTTAAATTCCAGGGTAAGTAAGAATCTGCATTCATTCCAAAGGCAGAAGTTCTCACCAAGGGGCCTGCCCTGAGATTCCCAGGAGCCAGATGGAGGGTAGGGGCAGGCCAACGAGAATCCTCCCCACTTCAGCCTGAAAAGTTCTGCTGCTCTTAGTTGTAGATTTGGAGACCCATGTCAGATCCTACTTGAGAAAAGAGGATGACCCATGATAATATGTACTAATGAATTAGATGTAAGGTCAGGCCTGGCAAGAACTTAGATTGTTGGCATCCAAGATGCAGCCTGGAGGAGACCAATGTCCTTTATCCACTATCCTGGACTCAGAGCTGTGTGGAGAGCTCTGGGGACCAGGAGGCGCTGACTGCTGATTTGAATCTCACCACCCTCTGACATCCTGCTGGATTATACTGCATTGAAGGACCAGGGACAGAACAGTATGGACAGTATTGAGCATCTCTGTGTCTCTTCAGAAGCTAGTGCCATGCTGGGACAGAGCAGATGGTCCACTAGGCACACAGAACCAACTTTGCATATGGTTCTTTCTACCACCAAGTGAACTCAATACCCCAGGTGGGCCAGCATCTGGGAGCTAGTTAAGGACAATGACTTTACTCTGTTGAGACCCAAGACCCTCCCCTGCTGCCTCCTCAGCCACTGACACTGGGCAGTGTGCCCAAGGACAGGGCACTGAGTCAGCTCTGGGCAGATACATAGGTGTAATTCACTGCAAGAAGCCATAGTCTTCCTGACAGGGAACTTGCCCACACCTGGAAACGTCTTTAACAAAACCCTACTGATGACTCCCATTGTGTCTCTGAGCCAAAGGTGAAATAGTAAACAGCATCAATTTCTCAGGACAAGGTTGAAAGCTACAGTGAGGGACATAAGGTGTGAGAAGACAGATTTCACCATGAAGTTATGGCTCCTGCTATTCTGGTAGCAGCTCTTCTCTGCTGAGGACAGACAGCCCTCTGAGTAACAGAAGACTTGCATTTCATTGAGGACACATAAGGCAGAAGATCAGCGATGCTTCTGGAACTTCTGCTGACCACAGGGCAGATGAGCTAGGTGAGAAACCTGCCAAGATCCAGCTAAATCAGGCAGCTGCATATGGACACTGGATGCACAATTAATTTCCAAAATGATACCTCACCAAAAGAGCCTCATTGGCCTGTGTTCCTTGTGACAAGGGGTCTTTTGTTATGAAGCTATTCCCTCTGGAGTAATGGAGCTACTAGAGGACAAATTGAGAATTTGCCAAGAGGTGAAATGGGGTAGATTAATCAGTGATGGAGACCTCTGTGGTCTAAACATTCTTGGTGGCCTGGACCTTTATCTCCAGGTCTGGGAGTCCCTAAGGAAGTGTCAAGTGCACACACCCAGCTACAGATGAGGGTAGTGACCTCAAGTGTCAACCTCTTTGGCCTCCTGTGAAAAGAATATAACAGTGGAACTGCACCAGGGGCTTGTAAGGTTCTGGGGGGCTAACAGATGTAAAGAAGGACCAGATACAAAAGAACCAGCACTCACTCTGAGGCTGTCATTGTCGCCCTCTGCACTGAACACCCTCTGCATACCCAGCACTCCCTGTGCCTGCCATTCCTCATCTCCTTCAGTCCCCAAACTGCCTCTCCTGGTGTAATTTCCATATCAAGGATGGATCACAGGGCACTGTGGCTCAGCTAGCTAAATAAAGCAAATGGTCAGATGGACCAGGAGGTTAGCAGCATCAGCTGGAAGCCTAGCCTAGATGAAATACTCTGAGTGTGATCCCTAGACTAGCAACACAGGCATCCCCTAGGACCTTCTCAGAAATTCAGACTTGGGCCTGCCTAGACCTCGGGGTCTAGGAAGCAGAGCTGTGGTTTAACAAGGATTCAGGATCTGTGGCCTCAGCCCATACATACATGGCACGATGCTCTTCCTCTCTCCCACCACACACCTCTTCCTCCCACCTCTACTCAGCCAGGCCATCTTTTCAGGCCTCCTCCATCCTCTGGGGCCTTCTGCCTTTTACCTGGGCACCTGCCAGCCCTTCCCTGCTCCTGGCCTCCTGGCCTGCCATGTGCCTCTCTGTCTAGCTGCCAGAGCAAGCACCTCTCCTGGGACCCACCATAGTTCCTTGGGTCATAATGATCTGTGGCCATGTCTGTTCTCAATGGCTCACCCAGCCTTGTAGGTTTTCTGGTAGTTTTTGAAAGTCATAATGGCTTGGGGAGAGGAGGACCAACCAGCTTTAGAGCCAAGCAGGTCCACCGCAAGCCTGACATTTCCAAGTTCAGAGGTCTTAGGCAAGGCTTTCAGGTGCTTTGAGCCTTGGTCTCAGGGTTACCTCCCAAGGCTACTGGGATTATATGGGATGGGGGGAGGCTGGAGGTGAATGCTCTCATTCTCCTGTAGACACTGTGAGCAACTGAGCATGAGCCAGAATGTAGGAGCTGGGGACAAACAGGGAGGTGGGATGGAGGGTGGTATTCTCTTTGAGGCCTAGGGTGGAGGAAAGCTGCAGGCAGCCAAGGAGAATATGAAGAGAGGAACCAGGGTAGGTCCCCAGTTATCCGTCTCTTTTGAGCAGGCCCCACTTCCAGCAACACACTTGGCTCTGAACTCATCTACTGATAAGTGTAGCACCCCCATGACCCCATAATCTTTTAAAAGCACAATCTCTGAACCCATAAGGCCTTTGAGGGATCTTAACCGTATTACTTCCCTCAAGGGATTTATAGTCTAGTGGTAAAATAAGCTGATAGAGAATCAAATAGGCTCACAAGTGGTCTGTGCCACGAAGCCACAGGGAGAGCCTAACCTTCGGGTTAGTAACCCTGTGCTCTGGAACAAGACAGCCTGCGTCAACTCACGGCTCCCCTGCTGACAGCAGAGTCACCTGGAACAAGTCATTTCACCCCTCTGTGTCTTGATCTCCTCATCCGTAGAATAGGGACAACAGATAGGCTGCACAGGTGTGCTGCGAAACATGTGTCTTTGAGTGCAAAACTCACAGGGCAGTGTCTTGACAGCACAGGAGCTTAGAACCATGCTTTCTGGTGTTGTTTCTGATGTTATAAATGTGAAGAGTGTGACCACTGACTATTGATAGTTTGTTTGATGACTCACATAATTCACTTGGAGGAAGCCTGTAAAGGGATGAAATAACCCAAAATCATGTCACCAACAAGGATGTATCGGATAGTAACTACCATAAAAATATTATTTCAAAAAAGTTACCCCAAGGATCAAGGACTTTAAACAACAATTCAAGCCTGAGACCATGTGTCTCCCAGCCACCAGCCACCTGCCGCCTCACTACCCACGGGCCATACTCCATTGCTCCCACACGCACATCCCAAATCCCTGTCCCATTATTCCGAGCAAGTCACATGACTGAGCTCAAGGACAAAAATGGAGGAAGTCCCCTTTTCCTGTGACAGTGGGAGATTTATGTGGCAAAAGGTACAGGTGCCAAGTGAGATGTCATAGCTCTTCTGATACTACAGTAAAGCTCAGTACTTTGTGAAGAGTTTTATTTTAGCTCACAGTTCTCGATGTTCAAGGTCATACCACCTGGCTTAGCTGAGTCTCATGAGGACCTTCTGGCCACATCACAGATGGCAGATGGCATCACAATGGAAACCAGAAACGGGTGGGGCCAACCATGACCTCTCGAGTCCCCACCTCTTAGACGTCCCTCTACCTCTCCACATTGCCACACCCAGGACCAAACACCCAACACACCAAACTTTAACAACATATTCAAACCATGGGTGTGGGGAATCACATGCAATAACTGCACCTATCAAGTGAAAGAGGAGATTCAGAATTCGCAAGGAAGCCAGGGATGGTGGTGCATACCTGTAAAATCCCAGCACTCTACCAGAAGGATCAAAAGTTTGAGCCCAACCTGGGCAACTTGGCAAGAGACTATCCCGCCAAAAAAGGGCTAGGGGCTGGGGATGGAGCGTAAAGCCCCTAAGCTCAAGCCCTAAAAACTTTTAGAAAAGCTTTCATAATCTGTCTGTTCCAGGACAAAGGGCACAACACTGTTCCAGGTCACTTCAGACACTGGCCTTCTGGGCCAGGCCTTTCCTTGATCCTACCCTCCAACTGTTCTGGCTCACCTGCAGTCCCATATCCACACCTCCCTGCCTCTGCCATGATGTGTTGAAGGACTGGTGGTTCTGATGTTGTGGATGGGTTCTGATGTTGTGGATGTTGTGATGTGATGTGATGATGTTGTGGTGAGCCATATTTGAGGCCGCGACTTTGTTGGGGGAAGGGACAGTGTTTCAGAGAAACGCTGGGATTCTTGGTTGCTACACAGCTGAGACCCAAAGGACCCACCTGGCCAAAGCAGTTACCCTCCACCAGGCCTTATTGGGCTGTTGGTCACACACAGTGATGTGTCTCATTTCTCAGAGACTGTCAAATGTGTCCTGCATGTTGGATGAGGAGCGGCCAGAAGTCCTGGTGACTCCCTTATACTCAGATTCAAGGGAAAGTCAAATGCAATCCAATACCCCAGGGGAAAAATTTCCATGCCCAGTAAAATAAAGCTTAATATTAAACATCAGAATTTGCCAGCATGAAGTTAGTACTGATTTGCAGTAGCTAAGCCAGGTGTACACAAAGTGAACCACAGAAGCCTTTTGGAGTACATAATTGTTTTTATGGCCTTACAGATTTGGTGAATTGAAAACAATCTCCATTCCACACCCATCTTTTCTCCCTCAATTCTTTTCAAGATTGTGTTTAGAGTCCATATTTCTTAAGCCCCGAGTCAAAAAACCGCAGTTTTCACTAATTTGGCTGTCTCAGTCCACTCCATCTTGTATGCGAAACTCCCAACTCCGGCTTCGGCCTTCGTCAGCGTTGTCCAGGGCGGAATCAGCGGACTCGGCAGAGATCTGGTTTTTTCTTATCACATTGACCTTCTATAGATGTCATTTCCATTGAGTTTCTAAAGATGGGTCGCAGAAGGGAAGATGTTTCTCGGCCTCAGTTTAACAGTAGAGATGGAGAAGAAAGGACAGCGACACGACCAGGACACTGACGGAAGACTGCAGGGCGCTGACACTGCTGGCATCGCCACCGCCAGCAGTGGTCTGCCCGCTGGTAGGCGCAGGTGTGGTGTCCTGGGCATCCAACAGCGGGGGCAGAAGCACAGCCAGGAGCAGCAGCCCCAGGCCCAGCCTGAGCAGAACGCATCCTCCTATGGTTCTTCCTCCCATGGTTCGGCGAGCGGTGGACTCCCTTTGTCCCTCCTTCAGGGTTTAGGAGATGAAGATCAACCGGCAGATGCAGGCGAAATGGTGAAACAGCGTCGGCAGCGGGCCTTATATAGCAAGGGCGTCACAATGCTGTGACGTCACAGTGGCGTCAACACGTACTTGGCTCGCCCTCTGCAGAAGCCCTGGGTCACAGGCAGAGCCTTAGAGTTGGAAAAGAAACATGCGGAGCTTGAAATGTTCACAACGCCCCGAGCCCCTAACTTACAAATATAAATAAGGTTTCCAGTCTGTCTTTCTGATTCTCTAGTGACTTCATGTTTACCCTGATCCTTAAAAGGGTTGAATGCTTATTTTTTGAAAGTTGGTAGCATAGAGCATGAAAAGCTGCTTATACCCGAGATGATCACTGTTCATATTTGGTATGTTATTTTTACAGTGCACAGATACGCCTTAGATTTATTTTGTACTTACATTTTTTTTAAGAAACACGTATTCATTTCTTTAACAGACCGCATGAAACTGTGCGCTGTGATTTACCCTCAAGTTGTAGAGATTC